GGGGCGGTAGCCCCCCCCAGTTTTTTGGGCAGTTGGGCAATATCCCAGTTTTTTGGGCAGTCGGGCAATATTCGATCAACAGTCGGGCAATTTTGGTTTGCAATTAAAAAAAATGGGACAAATTCTGTCAATTTTGTCTAAAATTAAGTAAATTTTTGGCAAATTTTGTGATTTTTGGAAAATTTGTGTTATGTTCCGAAAAATATTGGTTGTCCGGAAAATTTTTTTGACCCCTAAAATGGTACACTGACCGAAATTTTTTTGGCGACGGGGGGGGGAGCGACGTCGCCAAAATAATTTTTCGGGAAAAAAATGTTTGGTGCTAGTCGGGCAGAATCCCGAAATTTTTTGGGCAATGTGGAATTTTTTGGGCAAAAAAGCTACCGCCCCCCCAGAATTTAGCGGCCCCGTACGCCTATGACTGAAACCTCTGCGGAGGAGAGAGCAATCGGATGGCGATTTAATATTTAAAGCTACATTTGCAATATATTTCGCTAATTTGTGATTATTTTTGTTAATTTTATAAGTTCATTGCAGTTTTAATTTAAATTCAGCCGTTTAGTGGGCTGGGTATGCTATAATTAGATTGTTGTTGTCGTTGTGTGAAATTTAAATTTCTCCTGCGACATTTTGATTGGATACTAAATATAAACTTTGCTGTGGGCGGAAAGCGATCAGGTTAAGTTTTGTGTCAGGCTCTATTTGTAAAATAGAGCCTGATACTCAGGTTAAATGTTAATTACCGAAGGATCACTGGGTCACGACAGTTAAAGTACCCGTAACCCCAAAATTGATTTTCAGCTTACTAAAGATGCGGTACAGTCCGATTTGCGCATGTGCACAAAGGAGCCCTCTTTTTATTTACAAACAGTTTATTTAGGTTTTTATTCATTTTATGTTCTTGCAAAGCATGACTGTTGTGTCTTCATAATTTATTATCAGACTCATGAAAATATAAATAGTTGTCGAATATAATTCAATATTTAGGATATCGAAATGTAAACAAAGCTACTAACTCTTGACGAAGGGGCTTCGCTCGAAACGTCGAGTTTCTGCTTGTTTTTTTAAGGTAGTAATATAACCACTCAGCACAGCATTGGTTTACATACGGACTGTACCGCATCTTTAACACTATGCTACCACAATCATGGAAATAATATCCGTATACTTCGATCTTTAGAACGTATCTTGTCTGACTATTGTGTAAAGCTATTTAGTCTAACAAAGTTTCCCTCCAAGACAGTTTTTATTCGAGTTACTAGAAAATACATGCATGCATGCAGAAACCCTCGCCTTGCTGACAAAACCATTGTATTTTCCGAACATGAAGTATCTAAAGTAGTTGTCATGGTAACACGATAATTTTTTAAGAATATTCTTACAAATGAACAATCGCCTAAAAATATCACTTTTAATACAAAATTATTAATTTCCCGACATATATATATGTTAGATATGTTATTATACGTAATATAAGGCTCTAAGTAAATTAAGGTAAAATTCAACCACAAACGCTTCGGAAAACGTTTTCAAAGTCACTATAGTGTTATAAAACTAAACTTCCTTTTAAAATGGCTTTATCGATAAACTTTGAGTTTGCAAATAACTTTGCTTTCTTTTTTATTTAAAAAATTCAATATCATAAGAAAGGAATCAATATTAAAGATACACTGAAATTATATGCTGTTTTGTTTAGTTGTTTCATATACGCAAAGGCCGTCGGGTTTTAAATCCATTATAAAATCAATATTTAAAACAAGCTTACCTTCATTAACGTCGGCTCCCTTCTTTTAGCCGATTCTTTCGCAGTTTCTTTCACAGAGAGCTTTTGAAATTGACAAAATCTTGCAAAAATGCGAGCAAAATGAAATATATTTGCAAGAAATTTATCAATCATCAAATCAAGAAATGTTTGCTATTTCGCTGTCGTCATGCAGTCGTTATAATGCAAACTTTAAATTGCACCAATCAGTGTCCGCTATTCGTGATAGTCCACCATATTTTTGAGATCAGTGAGAATGACCACCCACCCAACACCGTTGGTGACCCACGCCCGCGATAATTGATGAACTTTACACTCCGCTAATGCTTTCGTTTCCCCGGGTGTAAATAGCCGGGGGGAATTAGTACCCTCGCACGGCGCTTCGCGCCGTCGGCTCGGGGAAAAAGCAAAAATTTTAAGCTCACTTGAACTTGCTCATAGTGCGATTTTACTTGGCGCACGGCCGTTGGGAATATCTAACGAGCATTATTTGTGACGTCACGCCAGTTTGTTGTCCTTTCAGCAGTAGCGCGTTTGTATCACTGGTTTGTATGTAAATTTCAGTATAACAAGACACTCCACGGAACTCCTCTCCGCAGAGCTGTATAGATGAACCCAATGGTAGATAGATAGACACGAAGGCTAGTTATATACAGTTAAACAAGTCTTTCACCAATTATCGTATTGCCTTACATTTTCCTGGTATAGCTAGCTTTCGTGGCGTATGAATGCATGTGGCAATAAAATATTGGCACAGGAACAACTTAAAAGCATAACAAAACATTTTTTTATCCATGGTGGACCGATCAGCAAAGTGGACCGTGGCAAAGTTTCATAAACTTGCGAAAATGCTAACTAAAATAGATCGTTAAATGTACAGAAGCTGCAGTTTAGTACGCGTGACAACAAGTGTATTCGTACGGACCACAAGTAACCCGGCCTAATTTGAACTAAATTGATGCTATACCCTAACCAGATGCTAAACCCAGATTCTCGTACCCGACGCCTATTGGCCAAAGAACCCATAACTCACGTGGTTCTCAAATTTTTGCTTTTTAACCAGTCTCGAGACTATTCTACTGACAGCATACTTTTAATAAGCTGAAAATCAATTTTGGGGTTACGGGCGCTTTAAGACCAAGTGGAATCTAGGCTTTACGTCTTCCATGCCAAATATTGTTCATCTATTTTCTCTAATAATTTTAGTTTAACCTTTTGTTCGCCCAGTGTTTGTACATGTTTTCGCCCGCTACCCAGGTTTAATTAAGTAAACGGATGAAAGACAATAGAGTACTTTTACAGTAAACTCGTAACGTGACTCATTATACATTACTGCATTTGCTTATTTAAACCAGAGAAGCGAACGAAAACATTACTGAGATTATATCTCATTGCTGTTTAACTTTCCTGTACTTTCGTTTCATCATTGAATTCCTGGAAGATGTCCTTGCATGGGTACTGCTTAGGGACCGGTCATTATTTATGGCGGGGAGTGGCACCGAAGAGAAAAGGGTTGGGTAAAGTAAAAGGTTTCGTAAATGGAAAAAGAGCTCAAGGGTTGGATAATAAAAAAATCATTGTCATTTCCAAAGCATGACTCGCTCAAATATTGAAGACAAATGCAATGTCAACGTCATGTATGCATGTCAATATATGCAATATATGAATCAATCCGAGTCACTATCTTGGTCATTTTCCGATTTGTGTGGAGACAAATGGTGTCTCCAAAGAAAGTAGATGTCGAAACAACATGAAATTTTGCGCAAGCAGTTATCAAACTCATGTCACAGAAGTGGTACAGGTCATGTGCGACAACTGAATGGTATCGTTGGTTTGTAAATTTTTTGGCCACGGGTGGCTATTTATTTTGTAATTGATATTTGAGGTTGGGTAAATTTTTTAATGGTTGGATCAGCAAAATTTTTACCAAGAAAAAACATTTCTCTTCGATGCCATCCCCGCCATAAATAATGACCGGTCCCTTATCTGTGTCATTTTCGCCGATTTTGATTCTTGCACAGCTTCATCTTTCTCAACTCTATAAAGTACTCGTAAACGGGTGGGTACACTCTTGCCTCTCCTTACTAACATGAAATATCCACACCTTTTAATACTTCGCTTTCCGTTGTCCGTACTAGGGAAGTCATTGGTACTTTCATCGCGCGAATTTTCCAAAGACCAAAACTTGGCGAATCATTTCGAAATGAGCATCAATGTATCTATATGCATTAGGATCTACCTTCGTCTTCTTTCGAAAAGAAGGCAAGGACAGTCGCGAAACAGCTGCACGCAAGATGATGACAGGGAATTTGAAGAACATGGGTTGAAGCTGGGACAAATCAGGGGGAGGAGAGCGGCCCAGAATTTCGTGCGTTCAAGGAGGATTGTCGATAACCTTTTTTGATCCACTGAGGGTGGACTACTTGGTGCAAGTAGGTTCGTCCAGAATTCCATTTTCAGGGTTTAAGTAAGTACGTTCGCCCAGAAGTCTATACCGAACGCTGAAATAAACAAATTACCATTGAACTTCATTTGCTTTGCTTGGTGGCAATTAAACAGGCAAACTTTCAGAAATACATCTTGCCATGAATCTACCACTGGATTAAGGAGGAAGGCAAAAATGGTCAATATTTCCTGTGCGTAATATGATGGCACAAAACCGACGTTCGCTGATGTGAAATGAAGTGATGAAAAATTGTGATCATTATGTGAGGTCATAGTAAGGTTTACTGTGTATTCCAGCTGGATTTTCGTGCCAAAATGGATTTTATCAGCCAACTTTGTCAATTTTGGGGTGCTGATTTCAAAAAAGTTAGGTACCATTTTTTTCTTCCACGTCATCAGTAAAAAAATTGAGATTCAAAATAGCGGCCATTTTTTTTCAAAATGGCGTCCATTTTTTATTATGTTTTGTTCTATAATTTAGCTCGTCGGCACCGTAGAACAACTATATTGTCCATACTTGTTAATTTTGAGTATAAAAAAGTTGGTTACAGTTCTTTTTCCGATTGCCTCTTCAATTAATTTAATAATTCGTTTGGTTTTAAGATGGCGGCCATGTCTTTTTTCAAAATGGCTACCCTGTTTCATTCACTTTGTGTTTATCTCAATTTGTAGGTACATTGGAAAGCAAATATGCTGGAAATACGCGTAGAGATTCTTAACACAACTTCTTTAATAAAGCTTACAACATATACAAAATAGTTTTGTTTTAATTTAATATGTCCATCTATCCTGTTTATTCATCAATGTCTTCATCCTGATCTGGTACGTCAAAGTCACTAGCGTTGCTGCAGTCACCACATTTGCAAAGTGGTGTGCAGGGTAAGTTATTCTTGTGGCAGGAGCAACGAGCTGTACTGCACTCACTACGACATCCGCACTTGACAAGCTCTACAACCGACTCAGGTGCTGGTGGTTCAAGACATTTCTTTGGAGAAATTGTGCCATCGGATATTGTCTCCCATCCATTATCAGTCAGTAGTGGTGTTTGCGGGCGTGGCTCTCTGTAGCCTTTGTTGATTGCCGATATAGCATTGGCTCTCTGAATGTGCGGTTTCAGTGCTCCAAGTGTGGGTGGCAACTTTTCCGACTCAAGATTCTTGGTTCTGAATAGTTCCCATCTCAGTTCCCCAAGTATTCGGCATTTGCTATTCTTGGCATACACCTCGCACACAAATGATTCTAGAACATCTGACACGCTTTCCTGGTCAAAATCATCCTCGCCAAATTTCTGAAAAGCATCAACTGCATCGGAATCTGATTCCAAAGTTAGATAGTGATTTATCCACCTGCTCTTTGATATACCTGCAAATTTCCCTCCCCAGTCAGCACCGCTAAAGGCGTGGAGGCCCAGTAGACCTTTACTTTTCTCGGTTCCAACTGCTTCACATCTTGTCCGTATGTCAATCGTTCTCTTCGCTTTTCCTTTCCCAGTAATGAACCGAACATGACCTGCAATATTGTTGGACGAGAACAAGTCCATCAAGTATACGAAGACATCTGTATCCGGTGAATACACATCTATATCTCGGGTGTCTCCATCAGTTTTCGATGCATCAAGTACATGCATTGGGATCAATGTGTCTGCCTCTTCGTGTGAGTGTTCAATGATATTAGGATCAACGATATTCGGTTTGTTGCAATATGTCCAGGTTCCATAGACAACCACTACACTTTTATTGCTGTCTGCATATTCACGAAGTACCGCTTTCCCCAAGTATTCTGTCAGTTTAGATTTTGTTTCAATGTGAGAAAGCAAGGTTTTCAGAGGTACAAGTTTGATATTTGTTGCATCGTTAATGTCGAACTTCACGGGATCAATACCAGTAGATCTTTTGCTACGCGTCTGAGCTTTCAGAGAGTTCTCCAAGTATCTGTCAAAGATCACGCGTCCTTCCTCATACCCAGATATTATCTTTTTGATGCTCCGAACAAAGGCGTTAGCAAAATCAGAACAATATACCATCAACGGACCTTTCTTGATAGCTTGGACGATGGCCATGGCATCAATAATGCACACCTTGTTTCGACTCTCGACAGTACTGGGTACATCGAATGTTGAATTTTGTTCACTTGATAGCTCTATGCTGCACTCTTCAATGGCATGCACAAAAGAACTCTTGTCTGCTGGGATAAGAAGAAGACCATCCGAGGAGAAAAGTGACCTGGGAATGACAGAAAACTCATATCTACCAATAGTGTCGCTAAGAGATTGGATCATACTTGGCCGTGACTGTTGAACTAAGAGAAATCTTGTCAATAGCTGTCGATCTTCCCTTAACTTTACCAGCTTGTTTCCGACTTTGCATTGTGTCTTCTTCCTGCATGTAGTAAAGGTCTTCAGCTTGATTTTCTTCATTGGATCCCAAATCGACATCTTTGCTGTGGATGCAACAACCCGCTCACACACAAATTCTTCAAATTTCTCTGTCCCCTTTTCATCTCTGAGAAGGATGTCGTCCTTTGCATTTTCTGGTACCTCCATATTAGATACCAGGTTCATTAGATTAATGTTCTTACGTGAAAATGGATTCCCGTCACAATGTTTGACTATTCCTTTCTTGATCAAGCCTGAGTTATTGAACATACGAACTGCCATTGAGCCACTCAGCTGATAATGTTCCTTAGTTGCTGGTTGGTCGCTTTTTGTGCAGTAAGAATCGTGGAAATCTTTGATTAGCTTGATTAACTCAGGGGCAATCAAGAAAAATCTATCAAGTGCACCTGCATTCTGTGTGATGCCAGTTATCCCTCCCGCTACCTTGAGTTCTCTGATTAGCTGTTCCAATGTTTGATCCACGAACAGATTTGTGAATGGGATCCCCGATTTCGCTACCATGAAGTCGCCACATTCCAGTGCCTTCCAGGTTTCCTGGT